AAAAATGGCAGTCAAATTCCTATTGAAGATGTATCCGTTGAAAGAACATTGGGCGTTCTGACACATAATAAACAGAAATGGTCAGATCAAATAAGTGATGCCACTCTCAAAGCTAATTCTATACTTGGGATACTCAAAAGAACTTTTAAAAAATGGAATCCAACTATGATCGTGAAGCTCTATACAGCATATGTAAGACCGATATTGGAGTACTGTGCACCAATTTGGTGCCCTTTTCTTCTAAAGGACATTAAAAAGTTAGAGTCGGTCCAACGAAGAGCTACCAAAATCGTTCCACAATTTCGCAGCTTGAATTATAAGAAACGATTAGCATATCTTGGTCTCACCTCATTAGCTGAACGTCGAACAAGAGAAGATGTAATTCAATTTTTTAAAATTTATAAAAAATTAAATATTGTTAACTGGCAACAGCAGATTAACAGAGCAAGTGCACTCCTATGTGATGGTCCTGCAGGTCATCTTCGTGGTGTCAAGCATAAAATTGATCGAGAATTTTCGAAAAACTCTCAAAGACATAACTTCTTTAGAAACCGAGTGGTGTCATCATGGAACGCTTTGCCTGCTTCGGTAGCTGCTGCAAATTCAGTTGATCGTTTCAAAAACAATTATGACAAATGGAATCGTTCTATCTCACGTCGGCCTACTATAGTCGGGTCTCGTTAGACACTCGGCTCATAGAAGTCAAACTTCTATTGTAGAAGTACTATAATAATAATAATAATAATAATAATAATAATAATAATAGCAATAATAATAATAATAATAATAGTAATAATAATAATAATAATAATAATAATAATATATATATATATATATATATATATATATATATATATATATATATATATATATATATATATATATATATATATATATATATATATATATATAGATGTACCGATTAATCGGCATCGGCTTAATCGGCTTAATCGGCCACTTTTTGCACAATCGGTATCGGCATCGGTCTTTCCTTATCAATTTACCGATTTTCCAACCGATGGCATTTTTATATTTTTATCCCACATTATGATAAAAACTAAATAATAAATAAACTAAACTTTATAAATTACTTAGATTTTTTTTGAGAAATTTTTTATAATGACTTTGTTTACAGGCAAATTTGATTTTCTTAAGATGATGTTAATTTTTTTTTTTTATAATTAAGCTTTAATTTAACAGCTGAATGTATTTATACTTTTATTACCGTAATGTTGTTTTTAAAATAATTTTATTTTGTATTGTTCTTATGTTATACTTAAAAGTAACCTATTTAAGCATTGTTATCTTTATGTATCCAAGTATTGCCTTCTATATTTCTATATGATTGTTGTTTAGATATCTAAATTACTAATAAATTAATAAGTAATAAATTAATAAAGTTACTGAATCAAAAATATACTCAGAATGGCAGCAGCTTTGTTTGGAAAAGGTATTTCAATAAAATCGCGTAGTTAGGTGTGGAAATATTTTACCATTTCTCCTGAAGATACCTCAATTGCAATATGTAATACATGCAAACTGAAGGTTTCAAGAGGTAACAAAGAAAAAAAATCTAAATCTTTTAACACAACAAATATGTTGTGTCATATAAATACAAAGCATAAAGAAATAGCAAGCAAAGAGTTGAAACTTAACAAAGAAGAAAACAAAAGGAAAGCAGAAAGTGAAAAAAATGTGTTTAAGAAAATCAAGTCAACTGAAGCAAGTTGCTCAAAACAGTCCCAACAAACTTTGTTTGAAACACTTGCGAGAAAAAAACCCTGGGACATTAATGATAACAGATCTAAATTAATTAATAACTATATTGCAGAAATGATTGCAGTTGATATTCAACCTTTTTCAATAGTAGGACATCGGATTTCAAAGATTACTAAATCATATATGTCCTAACTATTGTATACCAAGTAGAAAGTACATTAAAAACACTGTTTTTCAAAATATATATGACAAAGTCAGACAAAATATCCAAAAAGAAATAAATGATGCTTCTTACATTTCATTTACAACTGATGGATGGGCATCTACCAACGGAAAATGCTCATTTCTTGGCTTGACAGCTCATTGGTTAACTAATAAATTTCATCAAAAGTCAGCAGTTCTTTGAGTTTGTCAATTTAATGTATCTCATACTGCCAAAAATATATGCGAAGCAATTCAAAGTTCTATGAATGTTTTTTTTATTCCAGCTTCAAAGGTACATTTAGTTGCTAGAGATAATGCAGCTAATATGGCAGCTGGAATAAGAGAGGCAGGTTACAATAGCTTGCCGTGTTTTTTACACACTTTGCAACTTGTGTTGAATGACACTGTATTTGCCCAGATATATATCAAAAATATATCAACAACTTGTAAAAACATAGTAACCCATTTTAATCAATCTCCATCTTCTTTTGAAGCGTATCGAAAATATCAAACTCAATATCAAGTGCCACAAAATAGGTTTAAACAAGACATTGCAACAAGATGGAATAGTCAATACTTTATGTTTGAAAGAATTTTTGAACAGAAGCATGCTTTAATCCCATTTTGTTGTGATAATGATAACTCTAAACTAAAGTCCTTGGAAAACAATGAATGGATTATTTTAGAAAAATTACAACAATTTTTAAAAATGTTTAATGATATAACAAATTTATTAAGTGAGCGTGAAGCAATTGCATCTGCTATAATTCCAACTGTACAAGTTATACAAACCATGTTAATTCAAGCTGAAAAGTCTCCCTTGTTTTTTGGATTAGGAACCATTTTAAAAGAATGTAAAAACTCAGCAAATGAAAGATTTTAAAAATATCTCAATGACAAAAATCTCATTTTAGCCACATTTTTAGATTTAAGGTATAAAAATAATTTTTTTCCAACCGAAGTAGCTGACAGTTATCTTGAAAATATTATTAAATGGCTTGTAGATTGCTCAAAAAGTTTTAACAAAATGATCATATTGAATTTCAACCTGAGGTCAGTTCTTCATCAAGTACAACAAATCTAGATTTCGATTTTTCAAAATGCTTTGAAAATTTTATTAAAAATAAAAACACTTTAATTGAAAACACATCCATATCTGAAGTTCTGCAAGAAACAGAAAGCAAACATTATATAAAATTGAAAAATGAAGTTTTAATGTATTTGAGTCAAGACATAATCATGCAACAAGATATTCCTATAATATGGTGGGGAGCAAATAGAAATAACTTCAAACAATTAGCTCCAATAGCTCAGAAGTATTTATCATGCCCTCCATCTTCTGTTGAAAGTGAACGATTATTTAGTTGTGGAGGACAAATTTATTCTCCACGGCGAAGTAGGTTGGCTCCGGAAACAGGAGAAATGCTTATGTTTTTACATTACAATATTCGTAAACACAATTTTAAATACTAAATATTGTTACAACTGCTATTGGTGCTTCCTTTAGAATCTTAAATCTATTATTTTCTTTTGTATTTGATTTTGAAGTCTCTTATTTTATTTTGAGAAAATGTATATATTTCATGTTATAAAGGTTATTTTTATTTGTTTCTTTATAAAGAGCCTAAAATTCTAAGTAAACTGCTTATCTTAATACCATTTTCTTTTTAAAATTGAAATAAAAAGTGTTCCTCTAAAATTGTATTAATTTTTTGAAAGTTTTCTTTTCATACTTAAAAAAAAGTAAAAAATGTATATTTATTTGATTGAGCTTTTCTAATATCTTTTAAAATAAAGGTTTGACTCTGATTTGGGTCCAAGTATTTGCTTATCAGTTCTGATTCCATGAAAAATTTTAACGATTTAAAGTTGTATGGTTTTTATATTTTCAAATTATAATAGCTAGTTAATCTATCGGTATCGGTATCGGCCTTTTCCTATCCATCGGCATCGGTATCGGCCAAAAATGTGCAATCGGTACATCACTAATATATATATATATATATATATATATATATATATATATATATATATATATATATATATATATATATATATATATATATATATATATATATATATATATATATAATATTGTGTAGATTCTATTAAACCCAGGGCCGGCTCAGATCATATGTGAGCAATGCGGCCGTGTGGGGCCTCGCGCCTAAAGGGGCCTCGCATTGCTCTGTGGAAAGCTAGATAAAGAGGTATATATCTATTTCTAGCCTTCTAAAAAGGCCCTGCGGGGTTTTCTACAAAAGATTTAATAATCGAAATAAAAATCTAGTTTTCTACAAAAGATTTAATAATCAAAATAAAAATAATAATTGGCATAATATATGGTTTTTGTGAAAAACATATAACAACATGTATTTTTGGTCAATATAATAACTAGTGACACTATTCAGTATATATATATTATATATTATATTTTATTTATATTTAAAAGACGATTATATATAAAAACACGATTTTACCCTCGTACATTAGTACTCTGCAACCCCTCCCTTTTTTTTAGGTTTCCTCGCAAACTAAACTCGCCCTTGCTTGAGCTACTTGACTCTTCCTATTACCGAGCAAGTGATGATAAAAGATTTGATAGACTGAAAATTATTTAATGTTCTCTACAATCAACAACGAAAAACAAACGTGAATCTGAATTGGCATTGACTTAGCGATAAATTATTTTACTTCAATGAAATCTTGCAGATAACAATTTGTACACACTAGTTCGAATGGTACTTTTCATCCCCACGACACTAAACCGAAACTAAAACTGCCTGTAAATAGATTGAAGTTGGTTAGTTTCATTTAAATTTTAGCGCTTTAAATAATTTAGAGGCGAAGGTTCTAAAACAGATAAAGTTGTTGTGAAATCATTATTACTGTACTATAGAAATAAACGCTGAAAAAATTTTTAAAAAAATTGGTATTTGTGCATTATTTTATCAATAATTTATTAAACAATGAATATATATATATACATATACGAAACGAATAACAAATTAAAATTTTATAAATTATAATTTTTATTAAGAGTTAATTCTTTTTTTATTTTTCGCTCAAAACAGGATTTTTTTATTTTCACGTTTGGTTAGACTGAATAAAAAATATTTCTTTAGTTGTTCCGTTTATTGATATTTGTTTATGTCACAAGACTCTGTCAAAAACAAATATCGCATGATTTTATTGACTGTTTAAAGTACAAGAGAACTTCATCATTCAATTAAAAATGTCTTTGATAAAAGCTATAATTTTTACTATTTTGCTTGCTATTGAATTTTCATCTGCTAGTCTTTTGCATGCTCTAGAAAAAGATCAAAATTTGTATTATTGGCAGAATGAAGGCTGGATAAAAGCTGACAGAGTTTCTGAAGACAAAATAATAGAATTAACTTTTGCTTTAAAGCAACAAAATGTAAAACAACTTGAAGATTTTCTTCTTCAAGTATCTAATCCTGACTCAAGTTTGTATGGAAAGTATGTTTCTGTTGAACAACTAACCAGAATGATCCAGCCAAAAGATGATTCTATCGAAATTGTTTCATTATGGTTAAAACAAAATGATGTAAATGATTGTGAATTGACACTAAATAAAGATTTTATTAGGTGTACTATGAAAGTAGAAATTGCAGAGAAACTTTTACCTGGATCTAATTTTTACAATTTTCAACATAAAAAATACAGCAGAAATGTTGTTCGCTCAGTTTCACATTACCAAGTTCCAAATTATATTGCAGAGCATATTGACTTTGTAGGTGGTTTGCACCGATTTCCTGCTGTTAATTTCTTCAAAACAAAATTCGAAAATATAAATTACAATAAGAATCATTATATCAGTCACTCTGAGTTATTCCATATTGGTGTCTACCCCAGTGTTTTAAGAAAACGCTACAATTTGACTGCAGATGATGTTGGATCCCATCCAAATAATTCTCAAGTTGTTGCACAGTTTCTTGAGCAATATTTTAACCCAAATGACTTAAGTGAATTTATGTCTATTTTTGTTGGAAAAGACTTTCCACACAAAACTTCAATTGAGAAAGTGATTGGACCTGATACTGGGCGATCTGGTGTTGAAGCTAGTTTAGATACTCAGTATATAATGGGTCTGGGAGCAAATATAACAACCTGGTTTTGGAGTACACCTGGCAGACATGATAACCAAGAACCTTTTTTAACGTGGCTTGTGGATATATCAAATACTTCACAAGTACCATGGGTTCATAGTGTTAGCTATGGAGAAGATGAAAGTACATTATCAGAGGTTTATATGAACCGTGTCAATATTGAGTTTATGAAAACAGGTGCAAGAGGATTAACTATTTTATTTGCAAGCGGTGATAATGGAGCAGGTTGTCAGGGTAATAAATTCAGCCCAAATTTTCCAGTTTCAAGTCCTTATGTTACTGGTGTAGGTGGTACAGCTTTTAAAAATCCGTTTGGTTCAGGAGAAGAGACATCCTATGAAATAAGTGGTGGTGGATTCAGTAATTTGTTTTTGCAGCCCTCGTACCAAAGTGAGAGAGTTAATGAGTATCTTAAGTCAGATAATGTGCCTCCAGAACAATATTTTAATAAATCTGGAAGAGCTTATCCAGATATTGCTGCATTGTCCAATCATTTTTGGATAGTCAACAACCGTATTCCAGTTCCAGGAGTTGCTGGGACATCAGCGGCAACACCAACAGTTGCTGGAATAATAAGTATGCTAAACGAAAGAAGATTACAGAATAATAAACCTCCAATGGGTTTTATCAATCCATTTTTGTATAAAAATCCCCAAGCTTTCTTTGATATATTAGGAGGTTGCAATGAAGGTTGCTTAAACACTAATGACAAAGGATTTTGTGCTGAGGCGGGTTTTGATCCTGTCACTGGGAATGGAACACCTAATTATCCTGAACTTCTTAAAGCTGCTATGAATGCTGTTAATTAATATTAAATATTTTTTTGTGTTATTATTTCTGAGATTTTTTAAGTTTTGGGCCTGTTGTTGTTGTTGAGTAATACTTTATTAAAATCAATAGTTTATTTTTGACTATTTCTTCTCTTCGTTTATTAGTCTACTTTTTTATAGTGTTCCATCTTTTTTATAGAACAAAATTTCCACTTTACTTTTGAGAAAGTATTAATAAATATTGAATTATCTTTTAAAAGTTAGTTTTTTTCAATTATTTTAATACAGTGTGAGCTCAATTCAATTATAGCTTTAATTTAAATTTTGGTTCAAATCTAATTAAATTTCAATTATAATTTGAATTTAATTACAACTGATTGGGTTAAATGGGTAGGATTATTTAAATAAAAAAAAAAGATGCAAATTTTATTATGTGTGTTGGTGCTGCACATTGTGTGTATAGTGTACATATGGGCATATAGGTTACTTTTTAATAAATACTTTTTTTAATAATGTTATCAATAAAAATAAAAAAGTCATAAAAAAGACAATTGGCAATTGAACTAAAAAAAAAACTTTTTTTTTTAGTTCAATTGAAAAATCAGGTAAAAAATAAAACTTAATGACTTATTTGCAAAAAAATATAAGATTTAAATTAAACTTAAAGAATTTCATTAAAAATGACCGCAACCTTCAGTTAACACGAATCTGGACAAGTGCGAATTTCATAAGTGCGAAGTAGTGGCTTAAGTGCGATTTGGCATATGTTCAAATTGGAATAAGTGCGCCAAAAGAATTTTTTAAAATTGACAAGTTTTTAAAAAAGTTGCATAAGCGCGAGCTAGTATAGGCGCAAAGCAGCTGCAAAAACTATCATAAGTTCGAATTAGTATCAGTACGCAGAAAATTTGCAAACTTTGACATAAGTGTAAACTGGAGTTAATGCGAACCGGAAGCAGTAGCATAAAGGGCCATCCATAAAGTACGTACGCAGATATTGGGGGAGAGGTGATTTCCCAAAAGCGTACAAGAATGGGGAGACGGGGAAATTTCGCACTTATGCTAATTCACACCTATACTAATTATTGCAATTTTTTTTAGCGCACTTCGTTGTTCGTGCAGTTCGTATTTGTGCCAGTTTTTGCAACTGATTCGCACTTACACCAGTTTGCACTTATGTCATTCACACTTACTGAAACTCATTGTCTTCCATATTTAAAGTTGTTGTGTTAGGTGTGGTTGTATGTTGGGCAGCACGGGTCTTGATGGGTTCAGTAAAATTAAGTTTGTAATCTAGTTAAATTTTTAAGTATTTCACGCAACCACCAAATTCAATAACTTTTTTTAAGATTATTTTTATGATGTTTTGCTTTGATAAAATATCTCTTTTTTTGTTTTTAATTTACAATAAGTATAAAAAACGTTGATATTACACCATTACGCAAAAAAGGCTCTAAAGCAGATAAAAGCAACTACAGGCCTATCAATATTCTATCCAACCTATCTAAGATATATGAAAGATGTACGCATAATATAGCTAGCTTCTTTGAAACAATTTTAGACATCAATACAGTAAAGTACTCAACAATGTTTGATTGCAATGACCGAAAAATGGAGAAAAGCCTTAGATCACAACGGATGCTTTGGCGCTTTACTAACTGATCTCTCTAAAGTTTTTTATTGCATACCCATGAGTTACTAATTGCCAAACTAGATGCCTATGGTTTTAGTCAAAACAGTTTAATATTTATATCTTCTTATCTAATGAATAGAAAACAAAGAGTAAGAATAAATGATAAATTTAGTCATTATAATATGCTATACGGAGTTCCGCAAGATTCGATTCTCAAACTTCTGTTATTTATTGTTTTTATATGTGATTCATATTTTTTCCTTCGTTGAAGTTGCTGGATATGCAGATGACAATACTGCACAAGAAAAGACGTTACTTCTGTAACTACCAGCCTCCAAAGAGCCCCAAATCAGTTGATAATATGGTTCGAAAATAATGGATTGAAGGTAAATCCTGAAAAATACCTCCTTATCATTAGCAAATATTGTAACCTTGAAGTTTCTATTTCTAATTTAAAAATAAAAACATCCAAAAATGTTAAATTGGAGTAAAACTTAACAACTAATTTTCTTTCGAAGAGCATGTGAATACAAATATGCCAGCAGAAAAGTAAACGCACAAGAATTGCATTATATATGCCTTTCAAACAACGTAAACTTATACTTTCTGCATTTATAACTTCAAACTTCTCATTTTGCCCATTTATATGGATGTTTCACAGTAAGAAAAAAAATAATCACATAAATTGAATCCATGAGAGAGTTTTAATAACTACCTACAGGGATTATAAACTTATTTGAAACTCTCTTACTAAACAGCGTTACTTTAACTAAACTAAGGTTAAATGAAATCTTTAAGTTTTTGTTAGTTTTTGCCACTCTAATTAGCTTTTTTATTATTTTTATTAATGTATTTATCAGTTATCTTATAATTTATATTTATAAAGTTATTTATTTTTGATTGATAAGTATCAGTTAACTTAAATTAGCCAATTAATGAGCTATCAATGTAACAGCCATATGTGTCAACTATAAATAAATTACAAATAAAAATAAATAAATAAACAATTATAGACTTTTTATGTATTTCATTTAAGTTTGTTACTTTTTTAGCAGTTTACAAAGTACTTTTAGCTCTTGGTTTAAATAATATATGGCTTATTTGATAAACAGCTTATATTTTTTCCAAAACAAAAGACATCAGTTTATATATGCTTACAAACTTTACCAAATAAAACCACTGTACAATTTTAAAAAATGAGTTTTGTGGATGTTTTTTAAGCAAAAATAAGCTTTTGAACACAATTATTATTTGCTTGAGGTGGTATAAAACTGAATTCTAATATATATCTTTTATACTAGTCAGCCATCACTTTTTTATTTCTAAAAGGAGATGGCTCTAAAAAAAGTGTATTTTTCTGAAGTTCTAAATGAAAAATCCTTATAGAATAACCGGTATTTCATAAAATATCCGGTATTTTATAATATAAACGGTATTTTATAAAATAAACGGTATTTTATAAAATAACCGGTATTTTATGAAATAACCGGTATTTTATATTAGCTATATAAAATGTATTTTTTAATACAAGGAAATATACATTTTGAATAATTATACATGTCAACTCTGTTGCAAAATTGTATTTTCAAAACCATATTTTAAAATTGAATTGAAATTTATTTTCTTTAAAAATTTAATAATTGTTAGAATGCTATGCAATTGTAATTGTGAAACGTTTTGTATAAAAGTTTTTGAATTTTTTCTCCGTAAGTTGTCTGTTTTCAATTTAAAAGATGTTCAATAATCGTTTAACGATCTGAATGAAAAAAAAATACAACTAAAGCTTGATCTTAAAAGTTGATCTATTATTTAAACCGAGAGTCAAATGATTCAATTGTTAGATTTCTTTCATCACACTTGTTTGCCCCTTTTTTTTCCGAAAATAAATAATAGTTTCCAGCATGAACGATTTTACTGTGGAGCCAAATGAAACACTCATGCAAAACAGAATTACTATATTGAATAGATGGTCGCAATAAAAATATTATTGAACAGCAACTTTTTTCAATGAACGATATATTTGTTACCAATAAGATGTATTATGTTGAAGGTTGGTATTATATCGTCAAAACTAATTTCTTAATTTTTTTTTTTTGTTGTAGTTAAAAAGGTGCTCCATAAAGTACCTACGGACTTATAACAAATAAGTCCGTAGGAACGAGCATTAAACTAGGACCTTCACGCCTCCTTCCTTACCAATGTTGCTTTATGGGCTAAAGCAGCGTTAAACCTTGGACCTCTTAGTTTTGAGCCAAAACTCTAACCACTACGCCTCGGCTGCAGAAATAATCGTTCACGGCTGCAGAAATAATCGTTCACGGCTGCAGAAATAATCGTTTACGGCTGCAGAAATAATCGTTCACGGCTGCAGAAATAATCGTTTACGGCTGCAGAAATCGTTTTAACTTTACTATCTCTTCTTTTACAACATAACCGATGAAAAAAATGGAGCCTAAATTATCTCGGTATCTGATAGCACTTAATTCACTTGCACAAGCCTATGTTAATCTATGTTAAGCCTGTGCTAAGCCGATGTTAATTGTCAGCTTTTTATGCTCACAATCATATAAAAATGTTGTTTAAAACTGTAAATACGGAACTACCATACCTTGTTGAATTGTTTAGACCAAACAAATTATCTCTGAGTTTAACTAAAACAAAAATTCCTTTTTCTATTGCTATCATAAATGAGACAAAATTCCATTAAAACTTCCAAATCTTTGAACAAAAATTGTGAAGTAAAAAGAGATATATCAATGAAATTTTTAGGAGCGCTCCTTGACGAAGATGTAACATACAAAATATATTGAAAGTAAAATATCAAGGAGCATTGGCCTATTTTATAGGGCAAAACGTTTTTTAAATTCAAATTGTTTAAAATTCTTATATTTATTCTATTTATTTATTCTTATCTTAATTACGATAGTAATCCTTAACTATTATAAATAAAAACTGCTGTTTAAAAATTAATTTTCTTAAATCATAAAAACTAGCCCGTAATACGGTTTTTGGTCTGTTACATAAGTAATTTATTGCTGTTTTCCACAATTTAATGTTGCAAAACCTTAACTACCTTAAAAGCCTTTTAGAAAATCGCCTTCAGCTTGAAAAATTTAATCCATCTGTAAAATTAACATAAAAAGTTTGAGGAGGTAAAATAATTTCCAACTACTACTTAACATTTACAATTACTACTTAACATTATTTGAGTAATTTACAAATGGCATAGGTCATAACAGTGTAAGGCAGAACCATTTTTATCGACCTTCCTAAGTTTAACACAATACGTTTTTAGTTACTGACACAAAATAATAACACTTCGTCATGCTTTAAATTGACGAAAAGTATCAACGAAATCCTTGTAATAATTTTTATAACACGAACCATTAAGATTAAAATAAAGTTAAAAAGAATAAATTATATTATACAGGAGTTATCAATTTTTTGGTATCCCCTTGATTAATTTTTCTTTAGAAAAGAAAATTGTTAACTTAAAAATGTTTAAATTAAAAATAACAAAGTTTATTATAAATAACTAAGCAACTGAGTACAAATACATTTCAAACAAAAAAAATTAATTTACGATCAAACATAAGTATAATAAATTTGAAAAAATATGTAAACTT